CCGTGGATCTGAGAATGAGGAAGGAGAGATGTAAAAGAATAATGGGAAAGGGGTTTGGTATTTTCCTAGCAATAAAAACTTGAATAGTAGAACAGGTAGAGCAGAGGGGAAGACTGGAGTGAGTATCCCAAAAAGCCTGTGAGGGACTTTAAATTTTTAGTAACCTGTTTTCAGTGATGACAAAGCAACTTAAAAGGCCATTTTCATTACATCTTGGATAGGGATCTGAGGGCTCTCCTCAGCTGGTTTGAGCTTTGGGTTAGCTGGTAAGAGGACCTGGTGGGACCCGGTGTGGGCACTGACAGGAGAAGAGAGGAGTGAATGGGTGGAAAGATACCTCAGTATCTGTTACTTCAGCAAGGGGGCAATGGTCTGAGAACTGGCGGAGGTTTGGGTTTCATCAGGTAGCTCCTGTATGTTTACATCCTTATGACTTACAGAAGAAGTCGGTTTTTCCCCTACACAGCCGTGACTGTTTGTGGCTTTGATAGTCCGCTGAGCAAACATAGTAATCTAGGTTAGCCAACCTGCATCTGGCTCGCGTGTCCCAAATCCATAATGTTTGTTTCCATTATCTATGGTACGGAAGGGATTTTATGGAATTTTAGTGGGATCCTCTTTATCAGGGATACCCCAATAGGAAAGACCTATAGCCAGCTGACAAATGTCTGGGTGGAGAGATGGCCACCAGGTCCCTAAGGGGACTGTATGCAAGATAGACCATACTTTCTGTCCAGTAGGATTTGTGATCAGCCATCGCTGCTGAATGGGCTGATGAGGGTTAGGACTACTGGTGGTCAAGGGGAGAGTCCAAAGCCCTATCCACACGGCGAATACGCAATTTGAGAGGGTTACCAGTCTTTCCAATTTCCAGCCAGAGTCTGGACAGGGCACAGGCTTGAGATGAGAGGCATGGATCCAGGAAGTGATTCCGTCTACCTTTACCACTGTAGGTGTTATAAGTAGCACCTGGTATGGTCCTTTCCAGCGGTGTTCTAGGGATGACACCTGATGTCTTCTTAGGTAGACAAAGTTTCCCACTTGATATCGGTGTGGAGTTCCTTCGTCCCCAGGTTGGCAGGCAGTGGCCAGCTGTTCTCATAGGTATCACTGAGTTTTTTCAAGAGCTTTAAGTCTGTCAAGCAAGGGGGTATGGAAGGGATTATTAGGTCTTAGAGTTGGGGTTAGGTCCCTTACTGGAGGAGGGGCACCATAGAGAATTTCATAGAGGGTGAGGTTACACAAAGAAACAGAGGGAGTATTTCTTGTATGAAACAGTGCATAAGGCAGGAGCATAGTCCAATCTTTTATGCCAGTCTCTAAGCTTAATTTCATTAAGGTCTCTTTAATGGTTCTATTTTTTTTTTACCTGTCCTGATCTCTGGGGTCTATAAGCACAATGTAACTTCCAATTAATCCCCAGGGTCCTGGTTAATCCCTGACTTATCTGGGCCACGAAAGCCGGTCCATTATCAGACCCTATTACCTTAGGCAGGCCCTATATTGGAAAAATATCTTCCAGGATCTTCTTGACCACCATTTGCACCATTTCTTTTTTTTGTGGGGAAGGCTTTAATCCATCCTGAAAATGTATAGTTTTCCTTGGTATTGGCTGCCAGTAGCAGGTTATCCACATATTGAAGCAGGGTGACTTTGGGGTGCATAGTTCTGAAGTTGTTGAGATCTCTGTGGAGGGCTTTATCAAAGAGAGTGGGGGAGTTTTTGAACCCCTGTGGGAGTCTGGTCCAAGTTAGTTGATCAGACGTTCCGGTTTCTGGGTTTACCTATTCGAAAGCAAACAGCAACTGAATATCTTTATGTAGAGGCAAGCAAAAGAAAGCATCTTTTAAGTCCAGAACAGTATACCATTTTCGCTCAGGGTTCAGGGTGCTAAGCAGATTGTACAGATTAGGTACTGTGGGGTGAATGTCCTGCACTCTGTTGTTGATCTCTCTTAGGTCTTGAACGGGGTGATAGTCCCCGGTTCCTGGCTTTTTTACTGGTAGCAGGGGAATGTTCCAGGCCGATTGACAGGGCCTTAGGACCCCTAAGGCCAGATATTTCTGAATATGGGGCCTTATCCCATCTTTAGCTTCTTTGCTCAGAGGATATTGTTTAATATTAATTGGGGAGGCTGAGGTTTTTAACTCCACTGTTATTGGAGGTTGTTTTATGGCTAGGCCTAACTTAGCAGTTTCTGCTCAGGCATCTGGGTAATCTGTTATCCATTTCTGGGATAGCTTGCCTGTTTGATTAGTCTTGGGGGGTGTGAAGAGTTGATGTTTATCTTCTACTGACATAGTTAAAGCCATGACTATAGGAGTTTTTAACTGAAGGATTTAGAAATTTTATTTGGGGGCATTCAGGGTTAAAAGTTATTCTGACCCAGAGTTTGGTGAGCAGATCTCTGCCCATCAATGGGGCTGGGCATTTTGGGATCACTAGGAAGGAGTGATGGACTTTTCCTTTCCCCAGGTCCATGGTCCTCTTAGTTGTCCAAGCCCGATATTTACTGCCTTTAGCCCCTTGAACTAGAGACCTTTTAGTTGATAGAGGGCCCAATGGGCCTTAAGGGCTGAGTATACTGCCCCTGTATCCACTTCAAAGTTTACTGGGGTCCCCTCCACTTCAAAAGTTACCCTGAGCTCGGGGAGGGGATCCAAGCTCCGACTTTCCTAGTTATCCTCCAGAGTTAGAATGGCTGGCTGGCGTGGCTGTTTCTTTCTAGGGCACTCTTTGGCCCAGTGTCCTTTTTCTCTACAGTAGGCAAATTGATCTGAGGCCAGAGGTGGCTTCTGACGAGGGCCCAAGTATCCCTTTCTGTCTCCCTGTCTCTTAATTTCTGGCCTATTTGTTGTTGTGACCAGGACCTTAGTCAATGCCTTAGTCTGTCTTTTGCTTCTTTCATCCTCCCTTTGCTCCCTTTCTTTCTCCCTTTGCTCCCTTTCTTTCTCCCTCCTTTGTTCCTTCTCTTCCTCAGTTTCTCTCTTATAGTATACCTTCTCGGCTTCTCTGACTAAATCTCTCAAAGTCATATCTTGTAATCCATCTAAGCGTTGTAACTTTCTTTTAATATCCAGGGCAGCTTGCCCAATAAAGGCCATCATAACAGATGCCTTTTGATCCTCTGCCTGAGAATCAAAAGGAGTATATCTCCTATATGCCTCCATAATTCTCTCCAGAAACATAGAGGGAGATTCATTAGGTCCTTGAATATTCTCTCTTACTTTGGCCAAATTAGTTGGCTGTCTAGCGGATGCTCGGAGACCCACTATTAGAGCCCGGCGATAAGTGGACAGATGCTCCCTACCTTTAAAGGTGTTGGGGTCCCAGTTGGGTCGGTTCAAGGGGAAGTAGGCTTCGATTATGTTGGAAAGTTGTGTCGGTAGCCCATCTGGTCCGAGGATATTTTTTCCTAGCTTCCAGGAGGATTCTCTTTTGTTCCACTGTCATGAAGAGAGTCCCTAGGAGTTGTTGGCAGTTATCCCAAGTAGGCTGGTGTGAAAATGCTGGAAAGTTTTTTTGAGTTCTTTTAGTTGAGCCAGTTTCCTCCAGGGGAGGAGGGGCTGTGTGTGCCATGGGGAGTCATCTGGAGGGCACTAGGCCAGCTTAGCTTCCTCCAATGGTGGAGAGGCTGAGTCAGCAGCAGGGGAATCACTTAGAGGGTGTTGGGGATTGGGGAACTAGGGCAGGGGATAAGGAGGGGGAGGAGAGTCCATTAGAGTCAAATCTAGAGATTTAGGGAGAACAGAGGATGGAGGAGGAGGAGGAGCAGAGGGTTTGAGAGACAGAATCGTGGGGGAAGGAGTAGGAGTGGGGACAGGGAAAAGGAAAGTCTTCACCCATGGAGGAGGAGATTTGCAGAGGTCCTGCCAAGTTAAGATATATGGCTGTTGATCTGGATGGCTATGTGGTCCCGGCTGAAAGACAAAGACAAGATCTCTGACTTTTCAAATTAGTGGGAAGTAGAAAGATCCTTCTGGGGGCCATCCGACTCCAAAGGTGGGCCATTCTGAGGCACAGAGAGTCTGCCAGGTCTGGCATTTTACTGAAAAAGAAAGATTTTAAGCCCTTCAGTGGACTTTAGTCCAGTGATCAAGGATCAGGAACAGAGACGTGGAATGGCTTTGTCTCATAATGAAAGTTACTTGAATAAAGACTGGGACAATACAAACATGACACAAACATGGACACACATAGTAAAGTGTAACACAAGTTCAGAGGCAAAGATTTAAAACAGACAGTGAATTCAACCTGAGAAAGACTAGACAGGTTGGCAGCAGAATATACCCTAGGAGGGCGCGTCCGTCCCTCTGAGGGGGCTTCTGTCCCTCTACCAGATGAGGGCGCTTCCGTCCCTCCCCGAGACCTCCAAGGCGTCCCTTGAAGGACGTGGTCTGTAGCTTCAGGACACGTCTGTCCACCACCGCCAGGGGGAGCTCACGCTCTCCACTGGCAACCACTCTGCAAACCCAAACCAAAAACCAAACTTAAGCCAACAACTAAACCTGAACAAAAAGCTCTGAGGGATCGCAAAGGAAAAACAAGAAGGAGAAGAAGGAGGAAGAAGAAGAAGAGGTGCCTTACTTGCCCCCTAAAGGAGTCTGTTGGGATCTCCCTGTCCGGTGATGCCCACTTCCTGGCCAATGCACCAAATGTAAGGGACCAGCGAAACGTCGAAGGAAGAGACCACCAAGAGACTGCCTCATGCAATACCAAAGGGTTTATTTGGGGACCAGCATGCTGGGGCTCAGAGCTCACTTGAATAGAGCAAAGAGAGATAGAACTCTGAGAACAGCTTAAGCAGAGCTTATATACTTTCCTTGGAGAGTGCAGGGAGGGAAGTTACATTTTGCAGTTTGGCAGTTGGGGACAGCATATTCTGGGAACAAGATTAGCAAACAGTTCTTAAGATTTCAACAGTGTTTTGTTAAGCATATAGAAAAATGGAGTGACAAGTACCTATTTTATTAACCTTTCAGAATCAGCCCCACCCGCAGGTTCCTCTGGATCCAGACCTTCACTCCCACTCCAGGCAGAGACAGAAGCATCTAGAAGAGACAGCTCCCTGCCCAGCTGGTTTGACTGCTGGCTGAGGCTGGACTGGAGTATGCCTTGTCCTCCACAGCCCAGCCTCCCTCTTCCATCCGGGGCCAGGATCTTGTGCTTTATTACATTTATGGCAGGAAAGTCTCACCTTGTCCTCAAAGTGTCGCCTGGCTGGGCTGGCTGCCTTTGTTTTTGTGATGTCCCTAGGGTCAGAGCTCTATTATGTCCTCAGGGTCAATGGTCTGTGAACATCCCAAACATCATTGCTCTTTGATGTCCCCAGGGAGAGTGCTCTATAATGTCCCCATGGTCAATGATCTGTGATGTCCCGAGGGTCAGTGCTCTGTGATGTGCCCAGGTTCAGTGCACTGTGATGTCCACAGAGTCAGTACTCTATGTTGTCCCCAGGGTCAGTGCTCTGTAATGTCCCCAGGGTCAGTGCTCTCTGATGTCCCCAGAGTCAGTGCTCTGTGATGTCACCAAAGTCAGTGCTCTGTGATGTCCCCAGGGTCAGTGCTGTATGATGTCCCCAGAGTAGTGCTCTGTGATGTGCCCAGGGTAAGTACTCTATGGACCTCCAGGGTCAGTGCTCTGTGATATCCCCAGGGTCAGTCCTCTTTAATGATCCCAGGGTGAGTGCACTGTGATGTCCCCAGGGTCAGTACACTGTGCTATCCCCAGAGTCAGTGCTCTGTGATGTTCCCAGGGTCAGAACTCTATGATATCCCCAGCAACAGTGCTCTGTGCTGTCCCCAGAGTCAGTGCTCTGTGATGTTCCCAGGGTTGGAAATCTATGATATCCCCAGCGACAGTGCTCTGTGATGTCCCCAGTATCAGTGCTCTATGATGTCCCCAGGCTCAGTGCTCTGTGATTTCGCCAGTGTCAGTGCCCTGTGATGTCCCCAAGGTCTGTGCTCTGTGATGTCCTCAGGGTCAGTGCTTTTTGATGTCTCCAGGGTCATTGCTCTGTAATGTCCCCAGGGTCAGTGCTCTGTGATGTCCCCAGGTTCAGCACACTGTGATGTCCCCAGGGTCAGGGCTCTGTGATGTTCCTAGGGTCAGATCTCTATGATATCCCCAGCGACGATGCTCTGTGATGTCCCCAGTATCAGTGGTCTATGATGTCCCCAGGGTCAGTGCTCTGTGATTTCCCCAGTGTCAGTGCTCTCTGATGTCCTCAGGGTCTGTGCTCTTTGATGTCTCCAGGGTCAGTGCTCTGTAATGTCCCCAGGGTCAGTGGTATGTGACACCCCCAGTGTCAGTGTTCTGTGATGTCCCCGGGTTAGTGCTCTGTGATGTCCCCAGGGACAGTGCTCTGTGATGTCCCCATGGTCAGTGCTCTGTGATGTCCCCAGGGTCAGTGCACTGTGATGTCTCCAGGGTCAGTGCTCTGAGGTATCTCCAGGATCAGTGCACTGTGACGTCCACAGGGTCAGTGCTCTATGATGTCCCCAGGATTATAACTCTATGTCATCCCCAGGGTCAGTGCTCTGTGATGTCCCCAGGGTCAGTATTCTGTGATGTCCCCAGGGTCAGTGCTCTGTGATGTCCTCAGAGTCAATGCTCTGTGATGTCCCCAGGGTCAGTACTGTATGATGTCCCCAGACTCAGTGCTCTGTGATGTCCCCAGGGTTAGTGCTCTGTGATGTCCCCAGGGTCAGTGCTCTATGGATCCCCAGGGTCAGTGCTGTGTGATGTCCCCAGGATCACTGCTGTATGATGTTCCCAGGGTCAGTGTTCTGTGATGTCCCCAGGGTTAGAGCTCTATGATGTCCCCAGGGTCAGTGCACTGTGCTGTCCCCAGGGTCAGTGCTCTGTGATGTCCCCAGTATCTGTGCACTGTGACGTCCGCAGGGTCATTGCTCTGTGATGTCCCCAGGTTCAGTGCACTGTGATGTCCCCAGGGTCAGTGCACTGTGATGTCCCCAGGGTGAATGCAATGTGATGTCCCCAGGGTCAGTACACTGTGATGTCCCCAGGGTCAGTACACTGTGATGTCCCCAGAGTCAGGGCTCTGTGATGTTCCTAGGGTCAGATCTCTATGATATCCCCAGCGACAGTGCTCTGTGATGTCCCCAGTATCAGTGTTCTATGATGTCCCCAGGGTCAGTGCTCTTTGATGTCCCCAGTGTCAGAGCTCTGTGATGTCCCCAGTGTCAGTGCCCTGTGATGTCCCCAGGGTCAGTGCTCTGTGATATCCCCAGGGTCTGTGCTCTGTGATGTCCCCAGGGTTAGTGCACTGTGATATCCCCATGATCCGTGCACTGTGATGTCCTCCAGGTCAGTGCACTGTGATGTCCCCAGCCTCCAGGGTTCTGTGACATTCCAAGCTTTCAGTGCTCGGGGAGACCCCAGATTCCAAGCCTCCTGGCCCTCCTCTGTCCTCCCCTGTATTTCTTGGGCTCCTACTGCAGAACCGAGGCTGCTGGGCTCCCAGGCTGTGGCTGTGGCTGTGGGTCATGGTCTTGGACTTGGCTGGACCTGACTCTGGCTAGTCTTGGGATGCAGCCCTACTTGGCCACCTCTGGGCCACCTCACACATGCTAGATGCTCCTCTGTCAGCTGGACCCTGGCCCAGCCCTGCTGCTCCACCTGCCCTTGTGTGGGTGCTGGTCCTTTCACCAGTCTGTGAACCCCACTCCAGTCCAGGGGCCCTTGAAGGAGCTCAGGACATCTCCTTTTTGTGAACTGTGGAAGCTGCAGTGGAACCACGTGGAAGGTGGTGGGAGATTGAGGACCCTTGGTAGCTACGCCCTGGGGGACCATCAAGTGTTATAGTGGGGATGGAGGGATTGATCCACTGGCCCAGAAAGGTGGGACCCCCGCAGACCCCCTGGCTGGCTTGGGCCACACGACAGATTACCTGGGCCTCAGTTCTTTGATGCAGGAGGGAGGAAGCAGGGCGAGTGGACCACATGGGAGGCCAGCACCTGGGGACGCCAGGAACTCCCACAGTGGAGGAGTAACGCAGAGCAGTGTGTCCATGGCCACTAGCTGCACCTGAGGGTGGAGGCTGAACCTGAGCAGTGCTCCTGTCTCCTGCTGTCAAGAGCTATCACCAGGCAACCAGCATGGACCAGGCGCTGCATGTGGAAGGCACCTGCAGTGAGGCAGAGTCCAGGGCAGGCATGTGCTTGGGGGCCAGGCTGAGTGACATCCCAGGGAACCTCTGCTGTCCACCTGCAGCAGCAGGTGCCCAGGCTTCCTTGCCCTGTGTTATAGGATAGTTTCTAGGGGGTGTTTGCCATCTTGGATCCTAAAGCATTCCCAGGGGCAGAGGTCGAATTCCTGCATCATCTAGACCAGAGCAAGATGGAAGGCAAAGGGCATCTTGTAGTTTTTCAAAAATACTTTCAGTCACAATGTGATCAGCCCCAAAGAGCTTTCTGGGTTGGGTTGGGTCCAAGTAGGGTTGGGTCCCAAGACCACCCTGAGTAGAGTCAAGCCAAGTCCAAGGCTGAGTTTGCCCTGAGCAGCTCTCACAGCAGCACAGCCAGCTTCCCTTGGGCTGGAGAGGCAAGAGCCGAGCTGCTGGAAGCCCGGGAGGGAAGAGTCAGCCAGCCTCCTTCCTCCTAGCTCTGCCATCCCTTCCCAGAGATCCCTCTCCCTCCCTCCCACCTGCAGCCGCAGGCCCCTCCCCTTGCTGGCTCTGCCCAGGCTTCTTCTGCCCTGGCTATCCCCAGCATCTCGTCCTCCTGTGGCATCCCTGTGTGCAAGGCCATCCCCCTGGCATTTCCATGTGCTCAGACCTCCAGCTCTGCTGCAGTGGGAAGGTGCCTGTGGATGAGGCTCTCAGGACTAACCCAAGGCTGCCCACCCGTCAGTGGTGGCCTCCCCAGACGCCTAGTAGCAGACAGCAGCAGAGGAGCCCAGGTCAGGCAGAGGCTCGAGTGTGGGGTGGTACAAGAGTACAGCCACTTATAGGGTATGTTCAGTAGGAAGGGTAGTGAGGTGCAGAAGAAAGTTGTATTCACAAACATAATGCTGCTTTATCACACACAGTCTGAATGCGCGCCACGCACATGGTCTGCTTGGAGGTTGTTTTGTCAATGATGATTTTGCTTTGTTTTGTTTTGGGGGTGGTAGACAGTAGAACTTGCCTTTTAGTTATGTAAACAAACCATGTTCCTTGCTGAAAAAATGAAAAAAAAAACATACAAAGATCAAAAACTTTCCTTAGCCCATCCCCGGTCATTGCTTTGATTTCTGACAGTAAGGGTGCTGCATCACGGCGCTCCTGCCCTCCTGGGGAGGCGCTCCTTCAGACTGGCTGCTTCTGCAGGAGCTCTGTGCATGCGCACAGCGCTTCTGCCGCACACCTGCAGCCTCCATGGAGGCGGAATGACTTGGTGGAAAGAAAGGGAAACAAAAGTTCAAGTTAAACAGTCCACCTCAGTGCCGCGGTTTGGAGATGA